AAGCACGACACTGCAAGGGGGACCACCTGGGACGGTTGCCAGTGTGTGCCCAGAGTCCTCCCTGGGTAGGCCAGGCAGGATCCCTGCCCCAGGCTGGCGGACCTGAGCGTCAGGGCCGCTTGGGGGTGCTCTCCATCTCTGACCCTCTTTCTTTCTCCAACTCATGGGGTAGATAAACTTAAAACAGAAACTAAAAACAAGAAAAAAACATAATTTTAAATACATACACACATATGAGAGGACTTTGAAAATTTGCAGAAGAATGGAATTAAAGAACAAACTTATTTTAGCACAAAAACATTTTTTGTTTTTAGCGGTTTTTGCTATAGGGCGCGTGCACTCGCCAGACAGACAGAGAGAAATAGAAAGCGAGAAATCACCCCCCAGAGGGGATGGCCATGCCACAGTCCCTTCTCCTCCGCTCTCCTCTCGGGATCTTGGGCATGCACGCCCACGCGCCCCGCGTGAGTTTAAGCCACCGGGTCCAGGACTAGAACCACGGTCGACTACGTGGGAGTCCAGTGACATAGCCATTACGCTAACTGCTGGTCCCATCACAAAAACATTTTTGAAGTTTATGCACAGTGTTCTCATGTGCATTTCCCATGAACTTTCAAAGACCTCTTACATGTGTCATTACAACGAAGTGTGTAAACTGTGCGTGTGTAAGTATGTATGAGTGGGGGATCTTTAATGCCTTTGAAGTAGCACTTCAGCAAAGCCTCTCACCTTCTAGCTCCTTCCTTTCTGCCTCCCATACCGATCTCCCCTACCCAGTAAGTCTCCTAGTTGTTGGATTCCCCATGCTGCTTAGTTACCATGGGGTAGTAGCTCGGTCTTATCCAGATAAACCCTTCTTGAAAATGAAATACTGCTTTCAGTGTCACCCCTTCCTTCCCGAGTGCAGGACTCGTGGCTTGCATTGCCCTCCCTTTAGTATGCCTCCTGGAAGCGATGTGTTCTGGGTCTTCACTTGGCTAGTGAGGCCTTGCTGCTGCTTGCCCAGCACTTGGGTAAGGAGGTACCTGGTGCTACTGAGGGGTGCATTCCTGACAGAGGGTGCTAATTGCATTCCGAAGCAGCTTCTGTTTTCACTCCCCAGTGTCAGTTAACAGTGGTGAAGGCAGGGGATGTCTCCAGTGCTGCGGACAACAAACTGGAGATCTGTGGAATGAAGGGAATAAGTGGAGCATTTCACCCAGTGAGCTTGAATTCAGAAAACGGTCCTCTTCCTTTTAACCATCACGAGGTGGACATTCGTGCGGCCCACCTTCAGATGCTTCCCCACGGACTTCTGTCAGCGCGATCCAGAGCTGGTTTCTGAGGACAGCGGAATAGTCCAGAGATTCCACCGTCCTCCCCTTTGCTGAGAACGTGCTGGTATCTTTGATGTCTGAACGCTATGAAGAAGGAGGCTGTGGTGTACGTGAACACCGGACATCCAGATTCAGACTCCCCATGACCACATGCTAGCTGTATACCCGTGTAAATCAGCTTGTCTTTGTGATACTTGCTTCTGTGAAATTACTCTCACAATTCTGGCCTCGGAGAGTCCTGGGATGACGGCATTGGCAGACATTAGATGCTGCTGCTGGTTTTCCCTCTTATGGATATTCTTAATAACAACAGGGAATTTATAGATCAGACAGATTTGCTGACTCAGTAGTGACATGAAGAGATAACCTGTGTATGCACACATTCACTGACGGTCTTACATAACCTAGTCTTAGTTCTAAGAGACATTAAGCAACCAGCTTAACAGAGCTCGTTTTCAGGCCAAGCTAGAAACCCCTGGGAATCTCACGAAGACCCTGTTGGGGGTGCCTCTCTTTCTGTCTCTCTGTCTCTGTCTCCTGGGAAGAATAAACTTTTAAAAATTAGCCAAGCATAATCAGCCAGGCTTTGAAAGACAAACACTGTATGTCCCTACTCAGTACATGCAGAATATCTGCACTCTGGCAGAAATGGAACGATCTGAAGATACAGTGGTGGGGAAGATGAGTGTGGATATGGGAGACTGTTGGGGAGGCGATGGAGAGTGGAGAGTGAGTGTGAGGGGCTCAGGAAAGGAGTACCTAATAGACACAGGGACGCAAAGTTCTCTGCTGAAAATGATGACGTGGTAACGTCTTTGATTTGATTGTCACGTGCTGTATACTCAGGACAACCATTTTGTGTGCTATAGAGACATACAACAATTAAATGTGAATAAGAAATTCTGACATTAAAAATAAAAATTTTAGAAAGTAAGTGTCTCAGCCATGTAGAGCTACATAATGTTTCTTCTCCAAGTCTTGTATTCTGAGGGGCCTTGAGATATGAGTTTATCTACCACCATCCCCAACTGTGTTTGGTCACTGAAACCTTTCTTTCCTGAAGGTCTGGCAGGGTTTCATTCTTCAGCAGTACCTTCAGGAAATGTTCCTAAGCATGGTGCTCTACTTTCTCCTAGCATTTAATTGGGTCTGTAGAATGTCTAAGGCCCAATTTGTTTTGTTTCTTTCTAGATAACCCTCACCACCTGCTTGAATTTGTGTAGGGCTCTATTTATTACTGTTCTGGAAATGACAAAGACAAAAGAAAAACAACTCTTTGAGTGTGCAGGAAGGGTGATGGTACAGAGTCTCTGATGCAGAAATCTAGGAGGGTGAGAAAGCAAGTGAGCTCCGTGCCTAGTCTCTGAGTACTTCCGGTCTTGCATTTCTAATTTTTCCGGAAAACAGTGACAAGGTGGCACGTGCACGCGCCCGGTTGTGTTTTTCATCTCCTTACTAACAGCCGGTTCCACACAGAGCTCGCTGGTACTGACATACTGCTCGGCACTGTGGGGCTCACGTGACAGAACTTAAACCAAACCATCTCTGTTTCCTAAATGCTCGAAATCAGTGCAGACGATGGCACTTTCGTTTCAGTCCTGAGCGGTGGTGGGTATGTTCTCGGGGATCAGCAAACGTCTTCACTGCCCTCAAGTGGTACCAGAATAATTTGAGGTTAAGATAATAGAACCTGAGATTGTGTTTTTTTTTTTTTTTCAGTTCTACATAGAAATGAATTGCTGAGGTAAAAGGCAGACTTGTAAATTAAACCAGCGTTATAAAAACTACCTTTACAGGTTAATGCAGTATGTAAGTGAATCACTGCAGGAGGACACCCGTGGAATAGTGCCCTGCATGTAGGGAGGCCTCCACGTTAGTGGACGCCATCGTCCGTGGTATAATGTCTTCGATCTGACCTCCATTCAATTTGTTTTTCTTTCTTACTCGATAGGTCAAACTGTGCCGAGAATATCCGCAAGCACATCCTACACACTGGCAAGCATGAGGGAGTCAAGATGTACAACTGCCCCAAGTGCGACTACGGCACCAACGTTCCCGTGGAGTTCCGGAACCACCTGAAAGAGCAACACCCTGATATAGAAAACCCTGACCTCGCCTACCTGCATGCCGGTAAGGGGCTGAAGCCATTCAACGCTTGTTGCTTTCAACAGAATGTCATTTAGTTGTTCACAGTCGGTAGAATTCTGGGTGCTCACAGCTGCGACTTATTTTAATGGAGCGAGGACATGGTAATGTCTGTTCTAAGACCTGTAAAACCTGGTGTTCCGGACTTATCCCATGTGACTCTGAACACAGACCTTCCCAGATTCAATTTATCACAAAAGCAGATCTGACAAGGGAATCATCCTAGGACAGAAGAGTTAGTAATAGCAGATACTCAGAACTTTTCATTGGACTAAAGGATCATAGTTGTTTGAGCTTCATATTTTGACTACTTGATAACATTTTTCATCTTTTTTTAAATGTTTGCAGTTTAAAATGTTAAGCCCCATCCTTTAGTACCATCATTTCCCACTGAATATCTGGAAAAGGACAGAAAGTGAATGAGGACAGTGATTGAAGGCACTTTGGGGGTCACCTAGTCCACTCACTTCCCAGAAACAAGGCGGTCACCCATGCTGTAGAGGGTAAGGGGATAGCCCTGGCTCCAGGTGGGCTGGCCTCCTGACCTGCAGCTCGGACCTTCAGGAGGGACCAGGATGTAGAGCACCCACAGGGGAAGCCACTCGGCCTTTTCCTCCCAGGTGCTCTGTGCACAGCATTCTCCCTGGGCAGAGCAGTCCCGGCCTGGATGGCGTGTGACCTACATGAGGAAGTTCCTCTCTCGATGTGTGTTTGGAGACTTGTGCTAAGATTTAAGCTCAGCAGCGCCGTGTTTAAATAATGACAGTCAACATGGAGTGTGTTGTAAACAGGTGCCTGGGCCCCCGAAGAGCTACTTTCAGCCTCAACTGCTCCCCTACCTGGCCATGTGACCTCAGGTAGGCCGACCTCCCCAGGCATCAGCTTTCTCCTGTGTAAATCTGCGTGAGAATTAAAGAAGGCAATGGCAGGGAGGCTGTCCTTCTGACCTGTGGACGCACAGAGGCTGGCGAGGTGGAGATGGTGGGGAGCGTGGTAATGGTGAGAGCTATGAGGAGTCTCACCGCAGGACGAGGCCTGTCCTCAGAATGTTCAAACGGTGTTTGTGCAGATAATGTCCCCATTAAAGCGTGAATAATAATTGTAATAATAATGTATGTGATGGCATGTGGATAGAAGGTTACTATTTGTTTTCCGTTAGTGCATTCTTTCACATTTTCCAGTCCGTGTTCATGTGATTGACTGGCGTAAGTAAGGTGGAATGTCGGAGTTCTCTGTGGTAGTCATTCCGTGGCATCTGGTGCTGTTTTTTGGAAAACAGTCAACCACAAGAGGTTTCTGCCCTTTCCATTCTGGTACTGCTGTCTATAAACATTTTGACCTTGAGAGCTTATCACTCTAGTTCACAGAACAGTTAAAGTCAGGTTGAAAGGTCTCTGGCCACCAGCACTCTGGGATCCTCATGTACATGTCCCTGGCAGTGGCAATGCTTGGACGGCCGCCTGTGAAGGGGCCCAGGTGCACACACTGCATCCAAGTGGGTTGGAAGCAGCGTGCCCTCTCTCACAGGTACAGGATGGACAGAGCCTGTCCCACTTTCCACTGCACCAATTATGCAGTAAGAGCAGGTTGTTTCCCTAAAATAATGTATCTCTGACTTTGTACGGAAATGCCACAAAAAGGAAGGAAAGCTAACTGCAGACCAAGGAAATGTGTTCTCTCTCTGCCCAGGGAAGGCGGACTGCTGTTCCTCTGTCTGCACAGTAATGGCAGACTGCTATTCCTCTCCCTGCCCAGGGAGGGCGCACTGCTATTCCTCTGTCTCCACACAGTAATGGCGGACTGCTATTCCTCTCTCTGCCCAGGGAGGGCGGACCGCCTTGCTTTTATGTGATTGTTCGGGGATGGGTTCGGAGATCTCATTAGTTGTCAAAAACCAGGTGTTAAGGACAGTGACCTTAGCTCCCTGGTGAATGTTTGTTCTGGGTATGTGAGCACCTCTGGTTTGCTCTTCATGTCGTCATACTTCTGTCAGAAATACTTTTCCACGTAGGTCATGGTAGCTTTTCCAAGTACGTGTTTTCACAAGTGGAAGCCATGTGACCACTGGTGGGTTAATTGTTTATTCTTTCCCAGCATGGTAGACCTGCTCTGCAGTAATATTTTGGGTTTGATAAGCAGCTCACCAGGAGAAAACTTAAGAAACGTTTTTTTCTACTGACTTTTTTTTTTTTTTTGAGAGAGAGATTTTTGCTTTAGTGTACACACATTTCACCAGAGAGACACAAAGCAAGAAATCACCCCCCTGGGGGGATGGCCACACCACAACCCACAACCCCTTCTCCTCTAGTCTACTCTTGGGATTTTGGGCACGCATGCACATGCACCTGGCACGAGTTTTAAGCTACTGGGTCAGGACTTGAACCATGGTCGACTACATGGGAGTCCAGTGATGTAACCATTACACCATCTGCTGGTCCCTCTACCGGCCTTTTGTAACCTTGTGATTCAGAATCACCTGTGACATGTCACAATCCGATATTCAAGTCAGATTATGGCTGCCCTCATCATATGTTGTTCGTTCGTAGTGTTGGGGGCAGAGTAGAAGGATTCTTTAGTGCTAGAAAACCTAGAGATCCTGTGTTCTCGTCCCGAAGGGTCCTCCGAGCTGTATTCTGTGGTGTCTACAAAATCAAAGCATTGGGGATTTGGAACCTGCTATCCTGCGGTGTATATCGTGTAGTTATTTTAATAAAAGGATGGGTTTAAAACTACCCTAGGTCCTCCCATACCTCTGCCCTGCTTCTGACTATACTGTATGTATCAGACACCTAGACGGCCACTAGGAGGAAAGCATTTGGCAGTAGGCAGTGTAACTTGCTGTATTTCAAACTTCAGTTGAGAAAATATTTGGAAATTTGTATATTCAGATAAGATACTTTATTGTCTGTTTGGAAATAGGTCTGCACAAAGAGGTGTCTCTGGTGGTGCCTTCTCCTAGAGGTCCCTAAGCCAGTACGTAACTGAACTTATGTGGTGATGGAGCTTATGCAAATGCACTGACTGGACTTCCTGGGAGACCTGATTCTGGTCCCTCTGTGCCGTTTAGTAAGGGTGGCCATCTCTGGACCTCTCTGAGCTTTGGTATCCTGACCAGCGAATTCGAGAGCTTGAATGGACTACCCTTGGCCTCTGCTGGCTCGTCCGTGCTTCTGTAGATGTGGCCTATGGAGAAGAACAGGTTCTAGCTTAGCTTGGTCTTCCCTTTTATGCTTGCACTCCATGGGCCTCAGTCCCCTGGAGATGGTATAGTATCGCCTGCTGCTCAATCTCTGTGCAGTCCAGATGAGAGTCCCCTGTGTGCATGGGCACAGAAATAGTTGCTCAGTTACTTTTCTATCTAGCAGAACTTAATGATTCATTGCATTTTTTTCATTAATGGAATGATTTCAGTATCATTTTCCATTTCATATTGCTGAGAATGAAGGGCTATATGTGAGTTCTAATTACTGTTGTAGCCCTGTCTGAGTCACAAGACAAAAGTGGTTTGTTTTTTAAATCATGAATTACTTAGGAATGTAATACTCAATTTCCAGACATTTGGGGACTTCCTCATTGTCTTTTTGTTAATTATTGAAATAGTAATAGAAATAGGTTTTTAGATTAAATTGCTCTGTGGACAGAACATAATCTGAATTATTTCAGTCCTTTGACTTCTGCTTTGGTTTCCCTTGTATCCAGCAAGAGGTGGGCATGAGTGCACGTCTGAGCTCCCGGGAGGGACACGAGTGCTGTGTGCCTCCTCCACGGGTGTTCCTGTGAGTGCTCATGGTGGGTCTGCTCACGGTGTCGCTCAGTTGCTGATACTGTTAAAGTTGTGTGTTTCACTTTTTAGCACTGGTTCTATCACTTCTTAAAAGAGGTATATTAAAATTCCCAGCACGATTATGGATTTGTCTAACTTTCTTTTTAATTCTGTTAATTTTGACTTGATGTATTTTGAGCATATGTCACTAGCTACTGTGAGCTTTAGGATCATCTTATATATGTGCGTGCCCATGATAAAGGACATAACCGTGTTCCCTTTGTAACTATTACTGTTCTTTGGATCCGTAGTGCGACCTCGTGCCCCAGGCGGTACCACCTTCCATGTTAGTACAGCTGCAGACAGTGCGCTTGGTTCCTTTTTCTGCTGGGACCATTTTAAGCTCTTACATGGAATGTTTAGTGATTGACTTTAGTCTTTATACTTAATGTAACTTTTGGAATATTTAACATAGTCAATAAACAGAACTACCCAAGTGTCCATCAAGTGGCATGTGTGGAGTGTGCATTTACTCGCAGGGTACTCTACATCCTTGAGAGTGAATGACCTAGCGCTGTAACAGCAGTGTGAAATAAGTCTCATAGTTTCTCATGGGATGAACTAAGCCAGGCACGAAGGCATTCTGGATGATTCCACTTACGTTAAATACTTCGTTAGCAGTTGGGATATGTTTTCCATGGGCATTAGTCACTGGAAGGCAGCATAGTCTCTCTTCATCCCAACGTTGGGACGTGGTTGGGTTCAATTGGAGAAAATTACTGAAACTCTTTCTTATGAGGTGTGCATTTTCTGTGTTTACTTTAGAAAAACACATTCCTCTTCCAAATTTCTAAAGCGGTTCATTTGGGTATACTCTAGATTTAACCTGATGAGATTTTATAATCACATTAACCTCTACAACACTGACATCAAGTTGAAAGTTGTCAGACTTCTGTCATTGTACATTATAATTATTTTCTGTTTAGTGAAATCCATTTCATTTCAAAAATGATCCTGCTTGGATCACTGCAGTTTTAGCAGTTGTATTTCTATGGTTGCTCTTACCCACTTACAAGCCTGGTGTCCAGCCTCTACGCCTTGAGAAGAGTTGAAAACATGTCCATGTCTGCAGTGTGTATGACCTGCAGCTGGCTTCATGCACTGCACACTTCCACAGTTCCAGCTCAAGATGCTTTGAACATAACCCCGAAGGAAGGGGTGG